GTGTGGGATATTGTCCATTTTTCACAGCTATGTAAAGCTTTTTCTCTATAACCTTTCCTAATAATGGGGATTGTGCAAGGTGACCCTGTAACATCACCACCATAGTACCTGACCTCCCATCTTTCTTTATTTTTAGAAGTTTGTTGGTAAGAACACTTCATTTTTTCCTACCAGAATCATAACAGGTTCTTTGGACCTTAATTCATGCTGTGAATGAAGAGAGTTGGAGGAGATTGCCTCACCATTAGCGAGAACAATGCATGATCCATAGGAGCCATGTCAGACCTTTATGTCAACGTTTTGATTGTAATTGAAAGTTACACATCATTCAAGTTGATTATGCTTGAGGTGTGATAATATTTGAAATGTAAAAATTCATATCAGAAATGTTTAATCAGGGTTTCTGTATTTTCTGTTTCTCAGGCCATTATCTGATTTGAGCCAAAATTGGAATGGGTCAGCAAATGTTAGTAAAACTGCCCAGTACCAGATGTCATGAAAATTTGTTCATCAGTTCATGAATTGTTGCATGACGAAGATAATAAACAATTTTTTGTTGCCAATACTGCAAACACCCCAAAAACGTGTATAAGAAACGAAGTGACTTTTATTCATAAGTCTCATTAAATTCTCGCCATAGGTAAGTTAGGAGTCAGTATAGCACATAGTCTGTGATCTGGCCAGCCAAGAAATCAAGAGTTCACTTCACCCTACCAAAGGGGCTCTTTCTTTTAGAGATAAAGCAGCCGGAGCATGAACGTGACCGTGCACTCCTTCTAGTACAGAGGTTAAGTATGTGAAGCTATACTTCCACTCCCCCCTACATCTTCATGGCATGTGAGTTAAGCACAGAGAGAACTTTACTTTTTACCGTGGATGAGTTAATAAGAGGACTGTGTCAAATAGATTTGTAGCTTTAAATTTACTTTATGTTTTAATTATTGTGGAAAGGTACTCTGAAACAGAGTGCAAGAGAAAGGGTGTTCCGTGAGACTGGTACGTTTGACCTCTGTTCGTGCCTCTTTGGATTTAAGTGTGACTGGTTTCTGTTGCTTGGAGTTGGACATGATCAAAGCTTCTTTTAAATGTATCAACAGATAGTAATCTATAAGGCCACATTGCTTCAAAATCCTTGTTAGTGTTTGTTAACTTTATTTTATTTTTCCAAAGTCAGATGAAAACTTCATTCAAGCGAAAGATTTTATCTTAGATTTGTGATTCTCATGCTGGTGAATATTAAGATTATGGGTCTCTGGGATATGATGTCATGGCATTTGGTGGATAGGAACCAACTGCCCCCTTCTTAAGGGTAGAAAAAACTGTCTGCCCATCAAACTACACCGTTTCACTGCCCCCTTCTTAAGGGTAGAAAAAACTGTCTGCCCATCAAACTACACCGTTTCACTGCCCCCTTCTTAAGGGTAGAAAAAACTGTCTGCCCATCAAACTACACCGTTTCACTGCCCCCTTCTTAAGGGTAGAAAAAACTGTCTGCCCATCAAACTACACGGTTTCACATCCCAGGAGACAAAACGAATTTTATTATTAATATTGTTTTATTTTGTATCTTTTTCTCATTTTGTGTGGTTATTATAGGCTTCTGGAGGCTAGATTTCCTTTGCTTTTGATTAATTTTTGTGTGTCAATTCAGACTGATGACTTGTCTGCTTCTAATGATTTGTGACTATGATTAATTCTTTATATGAATATTATGTTGGATACTGTCCATTGTGTGAGGCATACCTAATATTTTTTAAACTGGATGTGTTTCCAGCATGGGTGTGTATGTGTATGGGTGAAAGGATTGTATTCAACTGAGCCCATTAGAAACAGCTCATCTTGATCTCTGCACTTATTGTTTTTAATGGATCCAACTGAGTAGGAACCCTTCTCACCTTATGCCTGGTTCTGAAATGTGTATATCAACTATACCCTGAACAGAGGAAAGTGGCAGAGTCCCAGACATATGAGTGATTAGAGGTATAGCTCCATACATTTGTAACCTCAACACTGGATGGAGGTGCGTGGTTAGGTCATGTCCCAGCTGCAGAAAGGAGCACCCAGCACTGAAAAGGAAGCTGGGTGTGCTCTAAAACTGATGTAAGTGTTGTGGAGAAATCTCTTACTCTGCTGGGACTTGAACCCGTTTCTTGGCCACCAATTCTGTCGCCTAGTCACTATCTTGGCTCACCTGACAGTGGACACTGTAGCATATTACTCATAAAAAGTAAAGCTATCCCTGAAACAGGCCCATGGAGGCCCATAGGGTTGTGCGATATCAAGGCTCCTACATTTTCTAGAGAGTCAACTTGCAGATGGTGGTGAGGTCAGATGGCACTGCAGACACCAGTTAGTGTTCTGTGTGCTGGTCAGCATCTCAGTGACTGGTCCTTTGTCTGTGATAGAAGCATGCCTGGCAGTAAAGGCATGCCTTTTAGGTGCAAAATAAAATACTGCTTGTCTTTTCTTTTTAGACTTGCAAGTTGAACTGGTATGTAATTTAATTATAAATGTGTAAACACTCAAATTTTTTAATTGTCATTTTCAGTTTTCTTAAATATGGTTTCAGATGTTGAATTTCACACACAATTTTGTCCACTTTATGGAAATGTATTCAGACTAAGAATATTGAGAATGAACAAAACTGGCTCAGTGATACCAATGTAAAGACATCACTCCTTAACACAATGGTATTGCTTGTTTTGTGAGGAATCAATCACATAAAACATAGACTTAGTTCATATCAGTGTAAAGCAGTTGCTTGGATATGTTGTAATACACCAGTTTAACCCATTCAGCCCACAGTTTTCAGGCACTGGTGTACACTCCGGACCAGATATTTTGTCACTATCTCATTTTTTACTGGTTTTCTTAGTATTGTCTCAATTTTACCAGGGGGAAAAATTCCTTTTCTCCTTAATGTTGTTTGCAAATGCAAAATAATTGAAATGCTCAGAAACAAGTGCTGGTGCAGTAGACATTTTAGACACAAGTGTACTAGGAGCTGCTTGTGAAATGGTTAAAAGAGCAGAAGTGCGCTATATTGTGGCTTTATAGGCTAAAATAAAAACAAAACCCTGACTTCAGTTTTGTTTCAATAAACTTAAGCTTGTGTCCAATTGTGTAGAATGTACATTGGTTAACCATTAGTCTGTACTGAGGCAATGGAAAGACATCCCATGGATTGTGGGATGACAGTGCTAAGGGTTTTCCTATCTGTCTGCCTTTGAGGATTTTAAGATGAGTTGGTTAAAAAAACGGCCATGCAAGGAAGGACAGGACAGAAGTCGCATGAGATGTATATGAAATGCAACTTATTATGATACAAACACTGGTATAATGATCAGCAAGATCTGTGGTTGGCATTCTCACTTATCTGTTGGAATTTCTGAAGACGACTTGTGCAGGAGAATTGAGATATCAGTTTAAAGAGATTAAGTGGGTATGCAGATTCAAATACCCGGCGGAGGTCGTCAAATTTTTAAGGGTGGAAAAATTCAGGGAATAAGTCCTCCAGGAGGGACTTTAAGCTATGTGTCCCATGTCGTAACTTTACGGCACGTAAAAGAACCTCATATCCCCAAAGGGGATCACTGAGCCAAATTCCAGGACGTTTCCCGCCCAACAATAGTCTCTAAGGCCTCTGATAGATGGGGGAAGCATTATAGACACCGCTAAGCAAGTGGCCGAACTCGCTTGTTCGGCGAGACTGATGGTACGCACCATTTATCGGTAGGGTATAGAGAAGCACAATAGATCAAAACTGGTTGCGGTGCATGGGGAAACCCACCCTCTCTAAATAACTAACTAAGAGATTAAGTGAAACAGACTTTGATGATCGTCTTGAAGAAAGATGTAAACTTTTGTCTAAAACATGTGTGAGGGCACCTCATACATTATGCAAGGAAAGTCCCGTGTGTTCAACAAGGTCTCTGGTATGGTGATTTTGGTTCCCGGTGTAGATTGAAAATACAATCTAGTAACTTTTTAATGACATAACAGTCTTTGTTATCTGATGATGATGGCTCCTCACAGATGCTTTAGGCAAAGTATACCAATCTGAACTACTGAAAATATCTGGTGATGACACAGTTACCTAATTTCTGTTTCAGTGATGCCCATTATCATGTATCCTTACAGAAATATCAGGCTGCTAAAATTTTTTGTTACTCTGAAAGATGTAAAACTAATTGTAGCCTGCAACAAACTCCCTCCCCAACCATACTTCCCCATAAATCAACAAGTGACCAGGGTTCTTTCTTTTATTTCAAAGGGGCATCAAGTGAAATTATGCATTTTATTTAACCAAGGACAAATATCTTGAGGTATAATTAAAGTGAGTGTAGTTTAAACAGTCAGGTCTTTTGGCCACCAGTTTCAAAACGCTGTGCCATTTAAGTACTCTATATATGCTGGTAGTTCCTGGTAACTGTCTCACCTTCTTAACATATCTTTTCCACAGAAACTGTAGTAGGGCTACAATATTTTGTAGGTGTTCAGTAAATCGTGTTCAATGAAGGATCTCACAATAAAACAGAAGTGTTATAATTCCTCGAAATACAAAATTAAAGAGATGACAAACCAATTCATCTGTTTATTACAGTTTCAGGGATGCAAAACCACATTAATATTTGTGCATTAAGATACATATTTGTGAAGTCACTACTCCTTAAATAAATCATTAATTACTTTGAAAATATAGGTGGGACTTAACCGAAACCAGATGTACTTGTTACTCATGGTGTGGCAGACCTCTGTGCCAAATCTAGCTTATAATGTTTAGGAGATCCTTCACCTAAGTCTCCCCTTGAGTAAGAAGTGTCCACCCCAATTCAGTCTTCTGATATTCTATTGTTGAACTACAGCCATAATTTTAATGCATTGTGGATGATTCCTCAAGTGTGACTCATTCTTTCTGGAATAATAACAAATATTATAAGATTTGAGGTTTTCACAGCAGTAAAAATTTACATGTTTTTATTTTTGGTTGTGATTCTATGTGGTTGGATTCTTTAGGGTAAGATAAAGACAGCAGGTTCCTCTGAAATGTTTGCCAAACTGCATGGTGTTATATCCTAGAAGGCTGTATTGTTTTATATTTTAAACAGCAGAGGTAAAAATTATGAATCTCTAGTAATGAATTGGATTTGAGGTTCCCATGGTGTCGATCATGAAAGCAGTGTATTGTGGTAGTGGTTCACCAGTGTCTTTCTGAGGAATGTACTGTCTTAATCTTCAGGGTTAAAGTGTTAAAACAAACAAGGAATTAGCAAGGAGTAAACTTGCACATGCCTGTATTCTGGAAGTGAAATGTTACATTTATTTTCAAGGCTTTTGTATCTTGTATCTTTGCCAGCTATTCAGTCATGAGTATACTTATCAGAAGAGTGGCAATTTCATTACTGGAGGGTACAATTCATGTGTACCCATACAGCTGTGTGATTACACTTCATATGATCTTAAACAGCCATTTGTTCCAGTTGTTGTTCCTTGCAGATGATGTCCTGTAGCCCAGTGTTCCATATCCCATACTGCAGTTCCAAAATTCGTTTAGCTCTCTGCACATACTCCGTAGCCTTTTTATGCTTTTCTCTGCAAAAGAAGTACCACATATTTTTGTAAATTGTTTCACCGTTTAATTTATGAAAGAAGAGAATCATAGAATTCATATTTTGTCACATTAAAAAGTTATCATTGTATATAAAAATGGATCTAATTTAAATTGTATGGCACTTATTAATTTGCAGATGGAATTTATTTTAAAAGGAAAAAGTCAGTAAGGAAATAAAACTTCATCCTAAATTCATAAATATGTTTTTGTTTTATTTCAAAGATGGCATTTCTCATGCAATGTAAAGTTTGAAAGAAGATGGAGAGACAAGTCTGCTTAATCAATCTACAGAGTTACAGATTAATTAATTACAGTACACTTCCAGTTGTCTGTATGTGGACCATCCAGTCTGGCCTGGCTGTGCAATCATAGCCCTTCAGGACATCCATTAAATTTACAGAGTCCATTTGTCTGTACAAATGAAAAGACTTCAGAACCACAATAATCAGATTTTCATGAAATCTGACATGGAGAATTTTATAAAGAATTGCAGAGCCATTTCAGTTTTAAGTAGGTCAGAACACTTTACATGAAGACCTATGTGTTATCGCATACATCTTGAATGTAATGCATGGAATATTTATCAGAGAAAAATGTTTGAAACAAAAGATACAGAGAAAGCAAATCACAAATTTTCTGTAACAGGTTTTTAAGGTAATGGAACAAATAAGATGCTATACATAAGCTTCCAGGTTTGTATGTTGAACCATCACAATGGTCTCCTAATCATGCCTGAAACCTGGATATGCATGTTGTTTTTACTATTCAAGTATCTTTTTCCCTGCCACCCGCATGAATAATCGGAAGTATACTGTATTTGAAAAGACTTTATTTTAGTTACAGAAATGGAGTGGGACTGTGTTCCTTGGTACTGCCATGTGCAGCAGGCCTACTGTATCAGCCCCACATAACAGATGAGTAAGAAGCAATGGTGAAATGTTCAGTAGCAGGGGAAAACAAACTCATAGAGGAACCACCATAAATCTCATGTGAAATTGCCCAGGATTGATCCCAAGACAGCATGATGAGAAGCCAGTGCCTATCTCTCTGAGCTGCGGCAAGGCCAGAATAGTCACCCGTTCACGTATACCGGATACTGGTGCTGAGTGTCAAGGCAGCCATAGGGTGACAGTGTACCTCCTTTGTGGGATACTTTGGCTGTACTTATACCAATCAAGATGTTGGCAGTGGCTAGTTAAGTTACTGTATTGCTACATCACTTACAAGTAAGTGGCAGAACCTGGGACATGTTGTGCTATGTCAAACATCATGACATCTGACAGTTTCTGCAGTTCGTTGGCCAACTCGATGCTGTTAGAACCAAACTGTTCCTCCACTGCAGGCAGGCACTGCAGTAGACAATCCACACTTTTGGCATAGTCCCCTATCAACACAGGTATATACATGTAGAACAATGGCATTGGATGGTAGGGTGAATGATGAATTGGAGAGGATCTGGAAGGAAGCAGTCATAGTCTATTTGAAGTACTGTTCTAACATCTGCCTGGAACTGAGGAAAACGCCTAATAAACCTCAGAATAGCCGATGTCCTAGCCAAGATTCAAATTGAAGTATATATTGATATAAGTAGTGTTAGCTATAGACCACACTGGATTTTGGTAATGTCTGATTATGTTCATGGGATGGCCGCGCCATAGCTCAGCAGTTAGTCACTGGCTTCCCACCATGGCGGCCCAGGTTCGATCCCGGGTCTGGTCAAGTGGGATTTGTGGTGGAAGTGGTGCTGGGGCGGGTTTTCTCCAAGCACTTCGGTTTCTCCTGCCAATCTTCATTCCACCAAATTCTCCATCATCATAATCACCTGGGGCAGGCTACAATAGGCCAATCAGTGGCCACTGTGCCGAGTGGACCCAGTTGCACTCCACCCCCCACTAAGCAAAAAAAAAAAAAAAAAGTTCACGAAATCACTTTTCATTGCTGAATATGCAAGTCCAGAAATGTATGCATAACATCCCTTTATCTTGAAAACTAAGACATACACAAAAGTATGAAATGTAAAACGTGTGTTCATATGATCCTCACAATAAACAGCGATTACTTCCCTAAACAGCATTGACTGACTGGTCTTTCAGTTCAGAAGCAATATGTTTCCTGAGGAAGGAAATCAAATTTTAAATAGTATTTAGATCTTCATACTTCAAAAGGTTAAGTAAGTCATTAAGTCTTTAGTATTTGACATTTCAAGACTGTCTCCGCCTCCAACATCAGAAGAGAGGAAAGAGCTGGCAAGAAATATATAAAAAAAGCAAAGATTCTGTAAGACATTTCATCTGCCAGCTTGTATAAAAGAATGATGCTGGGGGAAGGGTGTTTTACCTAGCATGGAGTAACACTTGGCCACTTGATCTACACATACAGTCAAGTCCCTGTGGCTCCTGTACAGACAGTGGCGCCTCAGATGCCAGCAGGACTCAAACATCTTTAGAGCTTCTGCCATGTCCCCCACATCAAGGGCCACAGAACCTATAAATCAGAAAGGGAACCAGAAATTTGAAACATGAATGTGAACCTCAACAATCATCCGGTGTTCAGTNACATACGTGTGCAGCTGGACGAAACATACACGTCGAACCCCCCCAGACGATTTAAATCCCTGACGAAACATACACGACGAACCACGGCAACGGGTTAAGCAGTTCTCTCTGTCCCTTGTAGAGGCATAAAATGAGTGCATAATGGGTACATCACTTCTGTCAATCAACATGTTCACATGAATTTATTTAATGGTTATCAATGATAATTGGTACAGTGTTTACACCTGTAGTTGTCACTAAAGATAATTTGGTCCCCATCACTGCAATACAGGAGCCAGGGTAGCTCAGTATAGCAACTGGCTACAGGCTGGACGGCCAAGGTAACTGGGCCTGATTTCCAGCAGGGGCAAGCGACTTTTTAGCCTCCTTACCATATTTTGAAAAACTGAAGAAGGCATATGAAATCACCTTGATACCTGTGCCCCCCCAATGCCTGAAAGCTGGAATAGTGGAGCCAGAAGAGATGGTCATTGTTAAGCAACGGCACAGTAAACACATTCCCACAGCAACGAATACACTTGCAACCACACAAGAACTGTTCAACATTGTCTTTTCTATGTGGTCCATGTTGTATCTGATAGTCAATATGTAGTGAAAGGAAAGTAGGTGATTAGTTCTTCCCACATCATTTAGACCAGCTCTGGGGCATAATGAGTATGGTCAGTTCTTCCCTTCAAAGTAAAGTTGCTATGGCATGAACCTTACCACTCACCTCCACCCAGTGATGAGGTTAAGAATACAAGGATCTATACACCTACTCCTGTCTTCATAGTGTGGTGCTTAATTAATAAATCAACCACAGGGACAACTTTACCTCACTGGTACAATATAACCCCCTCCTTTACATGAAGGTCAGACTGAACATTATTATACTTTTAAAAAACAACAACAAAATACATCAACATGTGGAACTTTCATTACTGGAAACTAGCATGAAGTTTAAGACTGCATGAAGCTATACCTCCATTCTCCCCATCTGTGTTCATAGCATGATGTGTAATTAAGCAAAGGGGCAACTTTACTTGTCACCACCTAATGCCAAGGGTTCTAAAATTAACAGATTCATTCTTAAGTTATTTAATGACATTATCTCAACTACCAAGATAATATGGCATTCAGTAAGAGAAGATGATCAGGAACAGTCAGCAGGTAAAGATGGGGAGCCAGTTAACTGCATTCATCTGGAGAGACAGGAAAACAATAAAATGTCTCAATCAGGATGGTAGACAACCTGGCCTGATACATCCTGAATACAGTCTGGAAATTCTCAGGATTCTAAACACAAAGGAGTGCGTGAATGTACAGTTCATACTCTGAATTTATTACAGACCTTCATCAAACAAAGCACGTGCTTTGAACGATGCCTCAACAAGACTGCTGATGTTCTGACGATGTCCACAGTCGCCACATGCCATACGATGGGGTGATTCACTGGTACGCAACAAAGGACCACTGCATTCTGAACACAGGAGCGCAGAAAACCGCTCCTGTAGTAACATGAGCAGAATGGAGAGTGGCTTTACTTTAATTAACTAGACAAGCAGCTCTCAAGTGGTCACATACCTCAAAGACATGCAACTTCGTACATGTAAAACAAATCCTGTCTTTAATTAACAATTCAAAGCAAAGTCTGAGGCTTACCAAATTGGGAGAGGCCGTACCATAGCTCAAGCAGTTAGTCGCTGGCTTCCCACCGCGGCGGCCCGGGTTCGATCCCGGGTCTGGTCAAGTGGGATTTGTGGTGGACGAAGTGGCGCTGGGGCGGGTTTTCTCCGAGTACTTCGATTTCCACCAAATTTTCCATCATCATAATCACCCGGTGCAGGCTACAATAGACCAATCAGTGACTGCCATGCCAAGTGGACCCAGTTGGACCCCACCCCCCACTAAGCAAATTTTACTAAACTGGGACATGCACACTGGACATTCTTTTGTGGCTAACTGAAGATGATTTTCATCCATGAGTTCGTTGCAGTACTTGTTAAAAAATGCTTGCACCTGCATAGCACAGATCCATAACACCTGTTTATTTCAACAAAAAACTTAATTAGTCCAGATGCACTTGTGTATCACTGCTACAGGCTAAGATGACCAGGATTCAATTTGCAGCAGAGGCAGACTCTCTCTTCACCACCACATCCAGACTATTATTAAGTAAAATCATGAAAACCCTCACCACACCTGGTTTTCAGGGTGAGGTTTAAACTGGGTTCTCCTGATTACAAAAGAGGAGTGTCATCTGCTCAACTTCATGATCTTGTTGTCAGGCTTGTTTCTAAATGTGACAATCTACTGGCCATGTGCTTACTATGTAGCTTGTAATGTACCTGAACAGTCTGCATTTATTTGCTATATTTTACAGTGCAGTTGTTTGCTATTTTTTTAATGTAAGTTTCTATACAATTTAAAACAATAAGATGCTAGTCCCATGAAATCTGTATTTTTCTATCCATTTGATAGCAATGAACCACTGGAGCTAAGCTTATGAAATATGATACAAAGACATAGCATAAGCATACCTACAGATTTTATATAAAGCATACCTTTATAAATGTAAAATTACAAAGTAATTAGTATAATAATTGTAGTATACTACTCTGTCCAAAAAGTATCTGATCTTGGGCCGGGCAAAAGAAAGTTCTGTATCTGGGTGGTTACAATACCTAATCCTCTTCAAAGTAGGCCCCTTGTGACTCCACACACTTAGCCCAGCGGTCCTTCCATTGCTGGAAGCAATTCTGGAAGGCTTCTTTTGAAATGGCATGCAGCTGCGCCATCGTGTTCTGTATGACCAGCGGTCCTTCCATTGCACAGCAGCCTTTTAGCGGTGTCTTCAATCTTGGGAACAGCCAGAAATCACAAGGAGCCATGTCAGGAGAGTAGGGAGCCTGGCGAACCTGCGGAATGCCATGCTTGGCCAGGAAATCCTGGATCAGATGCGATGAATGAGCTGGGGCATTGCCAGTTGCATGCGTCCCACAGCTCCGGTCTCTTGTGCCGAACTGCATCGCAGAGGACTTCTTGGTAGTACTCCTTATTGATGGTCTGGCCTAGTGGTGCACACTCATGATGCACAACACCTCGGTAATTGAAAAAACAGTCAATATCACCTTCACATTGCTCCGAACCTGTCGTGCTCTTTTGGGCCTTGGGGATGTTGGATGCTTCCATTGTGATGCCTGGACCTTGGTTTCCGGGACATATCCTTACACCCACGACTCGTCACCAGTGATCACGGTCTTCAGGAACTCAGGATCCCTGTTGGCGCACTCCAGCATGTCCTGCACGACCTCAAAGCAGAGTTGTTGCTGCTCCGGTGAAAGCAGCTTGGGCACAAATTTTGCCGCCACTCTTCGCATGCCCAAATCCTCACTTAAAATTGTGTTTGCCAAACTTCTGCTGATCCCAACCTCATCAGAAACTTCACAGATGGCCAAACGATGGTCCTCCATGATCAGTGTCCGCACTTTTTCAATGACATCAGCATTTGGGCTCGTTGACAGTCTCCCAGAACACTGCTCACTGTCCGCTGATATACGGCCATGTTTAAAGCGGCTGAACCACTCTTTAATTTGAATGACCCCCATTGCATCATCGCCGTAAGCCTGCTGAATTTTGCGAATTGTTTCCGCTTCGATATCCCCAAGTTTCTGACAAAACTTAATGCAGTATCGCTGCTCCAAGCATTCTGTCATCTTGAGCGAAACGAGAATGCGACAAACACATGTTACACCACTTCGCTATCTGGCAGCCACAGACGCATCCGGCAGTGTTGCGAGTCAGCAAAATATCACGCATGCACATGAAAGTCCCTTCTACCACTTCACTCAGTTTCCCCACCCCCTTGGCCATTACTTACAGCGGAAAGAAATAAAGTCAGATACTTTTTGGACATACAGTATATATATTATATTAGTATAATAACAAGTATAATTACAATGATCAAGTCAAGGAGGATGAGATGGCCAGGGCATGTAGCATGAATGGGGGAGAAGAGGAATACATACAGTATATTGGTGGGAAAGCCAGCTGGAAAGAGACCACAGCAGACATGGGTGGACAGTATTAAAATGGATCTTAGAGTGATAGGATGGGATTGTATAGATTAGATCGATCTGGCTCAGGATAGGCACAGGTGGATGGCTCTTGTGAACGGGGTAATGAACCTTCAGGTTCCATAAAATGCTGGGGAGTTCAAATGTGTCAGTATTCTTATTCCACTGGCTTTCTGTAGCTTTTCAAGAGACAGATTTCGATGTATGGTTATGGAATCCAAAGCTTGGAGACTTGCCTGAAAATCCTGCTGTCCTGGCAGGGAACAGGGCTTGCAGGTACAGGAGAAGAAGTACTGGCTCCTGAGTATTTCCTGCCTCTCACGTGTACCCATGTGTCTAAAGTGAGGACCTGGAAAAAACATGTGGTGCCAACTGACTGCAGGTACAGGACAGTTATCTGATTCTCCAATGAAGAACTTGATGGCACTAACACAAGTCAATGTAAATGTATTCACATCCGCCAAACTCACAGTATTTCTCTTAAGATACTGTTCTCCCTTGGGGCATGTGGTAGCGTAGTTGGTTGAGGTACTAAACCATAAGCTGGAAGGTTGTGGGTTCGATTCCTGATGATGTCACTGGATTTTTCAATTGACCCAATCTGTCCAACCACACTATGCTCCTGGGGTCAACTCAGTCTCTAACAGAAATGAGTACCAGGAATCTTCCTGGGGGTAAAGGGCGGCTGATGAGTAAGGATGACAACCTCACCGCCAACTGTGTACAAAATGTGGGAACCTTGACGTCTCACAACCCTATGGGCCTTCATGGCCTGTTACAGGAATAGTTTTACCATTATAATCCTTTGTGGATATGAGTCCAGTAAATCCAGTTATTAATCCAAACCCTGCATCTAGTCACTTAACATGTGACAATATACATAAAAAAGGGTATTTCTTGGATTCGCTGCCCGTAATATTTCTGGCCAGTAACTGTGGTCACAGGTAAATAGTGGCAGGATAAATTCTCTTTCTCCCAGTTCTTTCATTTATGTTTCTTCTTAACCTCTGTCACCTAAGAACTGGAATTTTAAATACCCCAGTGAAGACCATCTAGGAACTGAAGGCAGAGTTCTGCATGAAAGTTTGCCTGCAGGATGAACTACACACTACAACAAAATGGAGGGATGGCAATGTCCTTGCATGTGTCCCTTTACTCTGTTCTGAAAACAACATTACATGAGATCCTGTGGGATAACACTTCGTGAGACATTCAGATGGAGTGAAGTAACGTGTGACCTTCTGCAACACACAGTAATGTGTAAGCATATGTATATATAAAAATATTGTGGCGTGCTGCCAGAAAGCTGGAATGGTTTAGGAGATCGGGGTTGATTTCCTAGGCAACGACCAGCGTTCCTGCTACAAAGCCTATGAATCGGAACGCATCCATTGCTATACAACAGCTAGCAATCTAACAGTGGAGTTTCCACCATTACACACGAATTGTTTGAAGCAGCTTTTGCATAACAGCAGCCAAGGTTGAGAAGTGTGTATTTTGTGAAATTTGAATCTTTATTGAGATATGGTATTATTTTTTTGCGGCTGTGGTCAAAAGGACATTCAAACTGTATTTAAAATCCCAAAAAAAAATGTTTAAGACTGATCAAAAGAGTCAATAACAGGATATCGTGTAGAGAATTTTTTGGTGAATTTAAAATTTTAACCTTAACTTCATTGTATATCTTTGAGACGTTGTGTTTTTTAAGGAAAAATAGGATATATAACATCTCGTATTCAGATGTGCTCGGTTATACACAGTACATAAGCAGAATTTGTATGTCCAACCATGTAACACCTCACGTTGTAAAAGGAGTGTGATTAACATGGGAATAAGATTGTATAATAACTTGCCCTCTCAAATAAGAAGTATTCAAGAGTTCAAGGTTTTTAAGCGTCAATTAAAGGATTACTTGTTGTGCAAAGCTTTTTATTCCCTTCAAGAATATTTTTACAAGAATTAGCTTAATAATAGAACAAAGATACTTAGGTAATTTATTTTAGCTATTGCATGTAATTTATAGTTTAGCTTTTGTTGCCTTATTATACTCATCCACTGTTTTATCATATTTAAAGGACTTATGTTATTTTTCTATGGTTTTTTATATTATTAGTCATTTGATGTGATGTTTAATCTCATATATTTTTTTAAAAAACTGACTTGTCCAATTGTACATAATGTAACAGTTATGGATGTTAAATCAATCAATCAATCAATCAATCAAGGTTAACCCTTTGACATGAGTTCGATTGCAAGTTATAAGAGTCCAACTGCAACAAGAGCCTAGTTAAGTTTGTATTTGGCCTCAGAAGAGTAGAGTTGGTATTTGGCAAAAGAACAGAAGAGTTATCATCTGACTAGAGCAGAAGACACTTCACCGAGAATAGAGGTGTGAGAGTGTCGTAACATTGAAGAGGAAACGTCTGAAGATGTCATAAGATGTGAATAACTGTAAGTGTGAGTGTAAAAGTGACTGTCTAATAAACATTCGTTCAAATCTGAAACCCACAAAATTTCTTGTTGCGTTGCCTAGCAAACACGTGACAATATCTATAGCCGGAAGGATCACAGATGTTTCTGTATTGCACTTCTATGACTGACCCATAGGTTGGATCACAACTAATTTGACATCCAGCACATCAACCATAAGTTGTTGGCTGTGCTCTCCTATAGAACTGACAACCATGTTGGTCACAGTTTATCATTTGGATGAGGGGATTTTAAACCTCCCATTTCTACTTGGCTGATAAGTCATATTTTAAACTTGGGGGGGGGAGTAGTATTAGTGTTAAAAAATGGATCGATGGGCATTCGCTGTTGCAGTGTGATGTATGGCTGGTAAAATTAATAAATTAAAAACTGTGGCATCCTGGAAGCATCAGAAAACATAAGCTAACAATCAGTGTTGCCATGACACATACTCACCATAACAGTTGAACACTTCTCCTCCTCTGGGGATGTCTCTACATGCTCGGACAATAAGATACTGATTGTAGAAGCTGAAACAAAACCACACTTTATTGAACTTAACGTCCATTATTTATCATCCATCAATACTGCAACACTCTTCCATTCACCACTCAATTTAGTTTAACCTTATACACTTTGACACTACATGTTTCAGCCCCAAATGGCCATCTTCAGGTGTCTTGATATGTTACAAATATTTTTATGAAACTGTGTTAAAACTGTGACACTGTCTTAGTTCGTGTTAAAATCACATGCACAGTGTAGCAGTTTTAACACAATTTCATAAAAATATTTGTAACATATCAAGACATCTGAAGATGGCTGTTTGGGGCCGAAACATGTAGTGTCGAGGTGTATGAAGTTAAACTAAATTGAGTGGTGAATGGAAGTGTTGCAATATTGACGGATGATAAATACTGGACGTTAAGTCGAACAATTGCAACGGGATGCTGAAATACAGAATCACATATTATTGGTTGAAGTACTCTGGGAGTTTGTTCCATTCTAGAGCGAGGTCTGTTCTCTATTGTAGGACAACATTTCCCACTGCACTCAGTCTTGAAAAACATCCCCAAATTTGACTCCTCTGTCACCTCAGTTTACACAGCATCAATTGATGTTATGTTATTTATGTATGGTTTATTTAACAACAGTCAGTCGCTTAGACTATAATGAACAGGCAAGGATGTGGAAGGAAGCTGTCATGGCCTAATTTAAGGTACTATCCTGGTGCTTGCCTGCAGGGACAAAGGAAAACCATGAAAGACATTATGTTGCAATGCCACATGGTTCAGAGACAGCCTGTTGCTTCTGGCTCAGGCAACAAGCTGAGCTTCACACCTGCTTCTGCTCGTTTACTGCTTGGCATACTCTTTGATCCTGAAGATGAAGCTGATATGTGACTCTGAAATGTTGAGGCCGTCTTCAGACAACTTTGATGTTACAACCCAAAAGACCATACTATCCATATTCATTTCTCTGAGCACCTCATATCTATGAGTGTCCCAAAAGAGAATCAAACTGGTTACCACTTGAGTGAACTTGTTCAGTCTTATTGTGTTGCTTGTACACAAGGAAATAATTGCTATTAGCATGGTCAAAATTAACGACAGCATTGCCATTCTTGTGTAAGAACTCAATTGTTTTGCAGACAAAGGAGACACAGATTATTTAATCTAATGCAATGAAACTGACACATAAGATTTATTTTGGGATCAAGAGGATTTGAGCACTACACTGAGGATCTTGAATGGTGTTAATTTAACATCAAGAGTAGTGGACTGAGGTCACTGAAATTGAACACTAAATGAAGGGAAACCTTAAATCGAGGAGCATCATATGGCATTTGCACTATACTTATGTATGGAGTATTGTACCCTGAAGAAGGCAGGAAGTTCCTCCAAAGTGCCAGTACATATCTACCAAACTACATGGTACTCATCATATTCATCTGTTTTATTTATCTAATTATGGTTTACTGCCATCCCATAGTAGGATTTTACCTGCTTATCCAGCAGTTTTTCTATAAAAACTGAATTTTGAACTTACCACATTCAAAACTGAAACAGAAGAAAACATGAAAAAACTGACATGCTGCTGTGAGTTGAGTCCCCCATGCTTCGAGAAGCTATACATAAACCTTCTCTGCATCTTAATGATATCTGCAGGAGAAAATGTCATTTAAATATACAGTAGCAACAGCCTGTTATTGGTGGGTTGGAATCAGCATTGACACATGGTAAACTTCAGTCTGCCAGGTAATGGCATTCGGAGTGAATGGGTTAATGAAGCTTATCAGGCTAACGGCATCGATTCTCACCTGTTGATAATATTAGGGTCACAAGAGTGATTCATCATGCTTGCTGATGGATAGATGGCAGTTGCAATCCGAACTTGATGCTCTGTCAGAACTTCTCGATTCTCATTTTCAGGAAATGTTTTGTCCAGCTTGGTGATCGCATGTCCATTACACACAAGCTGTGCAATGTGTCGTAAAATCAGGCCTCCCACAAAACAGACCGTGGACTTTCTATTCTGCAGAAGTTCATCAGGGGGCAGTGGATTAGCTTCTTCCGTGAAGTAGTGAGTACAGTAAGTAAGATATAGGGCCAGCATACAGGCAGTCTGAAAGAGGTGAAAATAAGTTAGGCAGTGTTGGCACAGCATAGCGATTATGGCATGCTCACTATCTTTTGTTTAATTACTTTAATACCATATGATTTACAGCTGAAGCATATTGGTCATGTCATGTTTCACACTACTCTAAAACTTCTGTTTGAAACACATTTTGCTCTAATAAATATTTACCACAGTCTTTTGCCTGCTTGAACACTGGGGTCTTGGGTTTGAATCACACTTCAGCCATGATGTGTGTCTCTTTATTCTGTGTAAGTAGTGGCTTCTTTTTTACAAGCTGATCCCTCATCTAAAGAATCCTACTGACTGTGTACAGAATTAAAAAACTGGCCAAGGTCCAAAGGACTGTAGAGCCATAGGAAAAAACACCTATAGAACTTCATGTTAATTGTTGGTTATTGTTGTCTGGTTTTTAAATTCTCTTTGCTGATCTATGTAAATTAATTCTTCAATTGTTTGTTTCCAATTTTTTACGATCCTCAGTAAAATCTGTTATCAAAAGGAATTTATAATTCTCCTACCAGTTTCCCCACTTCTTATATGGCCATAAAGAGTATACAGTGAAAAGTATCTAGAATAGAGGTCATCTCCACTGGAATATTTCTCATAAAATTACCACTCAGAGCTGGAAACTGTGCAATGTAGAAACAGGAAATAAAAGACTGTATGAAATGGAAAATGAAAACTTGATTGATTACAAAATTTAAACTTACTTAGCTTCAAACTGTAGTTTCAAGAACTTACACACAGGGACCAAAAAACTGGAACTTATTTCAGCTTCATGCTGCAGTGTCACTCTTTGATATATATTCACAATTTTGTGTACCACACCAAGTTATCATTACTAATCACAGAAAATTAAAAATTGGAGTGGCCTCCAGTGGCATAATATGCATACTTATTTCATGAAAATCAGTCAGCTGGTTCATACATTCAAATAGGGACACATACAGAAAGCATGGTATCGAGATAACAAGAACGCTCTGTCTGTAGCTGTCTATAAATAGCGACCCGCCAGATGATAGACACGGTTCACATGAGGGCGTGTACGGGAATAAAAAAAACGGTCATAATTCCGTAACCGTCCAAAATCTGACACATGTTTATATGAACTTTTTTGATCACAAAGTCCTAGGAAATCACCTCCTGCAGTTATGCCCTAAAGTCATGAAACACTCTGTATAACATATTTATTACTGTTTCCAGGAATTTATTTCCAGTTATCACTGACTCTGATTTCCTGACCTGTTCTTGTACCTACTTCTACTTACATTTCTCACTATCCTGGGTCTAACACATCCCTCAGGCTGCATCATGATCAGACAGTGCTGTAAATCATATCATAACTAGAAGGCAACTTAGATGATATTTTCAATGCACAATGGGATCATTCTGGAGAGCTCACTGAACACAAAGGATTTTTCTCCTGTAAGGCTGCCTAATCACAAATGTCTCACATAGACAACATGGGTCTAAAAAGGGAAGGGAATACCCATCCCTATTCTTTGCATCCTGTTATGTTATAAAACCACAGCATACAGTGGCTGTCTACACAACAATACTTGATAAAATAAATCAGACAAGACTGCCACATTACTTTATTGTGGTCACAGTACACCACATATTTTGATCTCAATAGATTGCGCAACAACACTTGACAAAGTAAATCAGTCAACAATGCCACAAATACTTTATTGTTGTCATAGTACACCATGTTTTGATCTCAAGAGATGATCATCAGACGGATTATAAATAAATAATTACAGAGCGATTGAAGTGTAAGGTAAAGATAAAGTTGTCCCTGCACTTAATTAGTTAAGCATTATGCCATGAAGACACACGGGGAATGGAGACATAGCTCAAGCTTTCTTCACCTCAGCACTAGATGGAGGTGAGTGGTCAGCTTCACGCTCCAACCACTTTACGCCCAGGGAAAGAGGCCCTGGTACCCACTGGATAGGAGGCTGGGTGGGGCCTAGAGCTAGTCTGGATGCAGTGTAGGTAAGTTAATGTTAAGATGAATTGCTTTAAAATTGATCCGTTTTTCATGCCTACATGTGCTATAATTTAGTATTAAAATGTAAAATCCTTTAAAAGTGAGGATGAGGTTATGTGGGGTTCATGTGTATAATACTGGCGTATTGTGGCAAGTGTTGTGCGTGTATCTAATCTGGAATTTCTTCCTCATTCATTTTAAAACGTCATATATAATCACGTTTAAAACTCATAAAATGTCATTAAAATCACATTTTATATGTATTTATTTGTTGCAACATGTTTCAGCCTCACATTGTCATCATCAGGCAACTGCTGACTGATTGAAATCACTGCACTCCATGGGCTCACACATCAATATATTTGCATGTTGTTATTGCATGTCACGTTCGAGAATGTTCGCCCACACTTCCCTCATGCTATTTTTGTGTTCGGCATTCACGCTCTGTAATGTATGAGTGTTAAAGTATATTATGATTCTGTATAATTTGCTCCTATGTGTGTCTGTATGTATGTTATTATGTACTTACATGTTCCTTTGTGCATAGTTTTCCTAGGTCAGGAGTGTGTCCCTGGTGTTGATTTGTTGATGTATTTTCTGCTATCTGTCATAGAGTTCATGTATTATTTGAAATATGGAATTGTGTGTCAATGTGTGTGTCGTTCATATGTAAATTATTTCTACTAATTTTATAAATGTTATATTTTTCCAAAATATTTAAATGTCTGCCCTTCACTCCTGACCTTATGACATCAACAGTATCTGTTACTGTTCCACACATATTTCCTGTGTTTTGTATATGATCTGAATGTCCGGAATTACTGTTATTTCTGATGGCATGGATATGTTCTTTATATCTAATATTAAATGTCTGATGTCATGTAAGATTTGAGGCTTTCATGTCATGTCTGACCAATGTATTTCAATGGACAAATGGACAAATAAATATATCTGTGTGTCTGTTTTTTAATAAGTGAATGAGTGAGATATTAATGCAAAAGGATGCTGAGATATAATATTCTCGAATTTCATATTGAGTGGTGGGATTGATGTGGTTGGGTGATGGATGGTGTTGTGGTCTTCCTGGTTTCTACTGCAACAGGACACCTATACCTCCAGTATGCGAATGCACATACTTATACAAGCAGTTTGGTGAAATAACTTTATGCTGTAGGTATTTAGTGATTTGCAGGTAGTTGCTTTCAGTTATCTTATGGGGTTTATATACTTGGATATGTGGCCACATCAAAACTGTGCTGTATCTGTTAGTTCATTGGTAATGTCTGGATGGTCCTGAATGGTGTGTACAATCCTTGGTTATTGCTGTTAGTCTGTGAGGTCAGCTTCTGTGGCCTGCATAAGATATGTATGCTATAGTGTTATGAGAGAGCTGCCTGATAAAGCAAGGTAACTTGTAGCCGTACCATTGTATACTGAAACAAGTCTTCATGCTGCATATCTTCAAGATGTGGCATCAACTGGTACACATATCTGTAATTGTCCTGCTTGTCTCTGTAAGTGTCCTTGGACTGTGAAACACTTTCCTGAAGCTTTGTATGAATGCCTTGGAGTTTGCGCAATGGACCGGCCTTCAGCACTACACGGAAACCTAGATGGGCAATGCCAATCGAGTTCAGCAGTTCCAATCCACCATGACATTCCCACTGGTGGTACTGATCCCAGGACTCCTGCCTGCATGCTTCACTGCAGTACCGAGCCAGCGTACATTCCTCACAACTGCAGAAACAGCATAGAAACTTGGTATGATCATAGTTGGTGAGAAATGGATGGACAGGATGACTGATACCTGCTACAACCACTTGAAAGTATGAATGTGCAGAGACCTACATTTCTTTTAGATGATACTAAACATATAACTACTTCACCTGCTGTTTAATAATGCTTAGAAAACCCCAATTGCACATTGCATTAGTGTGATGGCACATGCACGAAATCCAGTATGCATACTACAATGGTTTCTTCAATGTGAGTACTATTTGTTATTTTCACTTCTACGTGGATCGAATGATAAGAATCAGTGTTCAATCTAACCCTGCTTTATTAAGACTTAACTTTTAATACACAAATAATGTTTTATATATATTCATACACATAACCATGGTAACACATAACAATAGAGAAATTCTGTTCTTACACACATAACTGTAGTAACACATAACAATAGAAAAAAACCAATAAAGCAGGGTTAGATTGAACACTGATTCTTGCTTATCATTTGATCCATGTAGAAGTGAAAATAACACTATTACTATTGAGTTAAATTCCAGCCACCAATGTCTGCAATAAGGGAGAATTTAAATCCTCAATATTTCAACCAGAACATAAATAATGGCAGGTATGAGCCCCTTCTGAAAATGTTGTACACTGCGACTGGTGAAAAGGTTAACATTTGACAAGTTTGANCTCTTTTCATGCTGCAGACATGCATATACTTTCTAAGACATGTTAAGTTAGGTTGTTTTATATATACAAATCTTTTAACGTTTGTTTTAACAAACATTGCAGTTGAGCAGTGAGCATTCCTGGTTGATATCTGGAACATCCCAGGATCAATCTCAGCCTGAAGATTGGCTACCCAGACAGATTTTTCAGTTTTCCTCACTCCCTTCAGGCAAATGTCAGGATAGTAGATAATATTATGGCATAACTGCTTCCTTTCACATACTTTCTAGTTCATTATTCATCCAATCATTGGATTCTATATAACCTGGCCTATGGACAGATTTATAAAGTAAGCTGCAAATAATTAAATAACATATCTTTATTCTGAATTAACTAAAACCTCAGCATGGAAAGGGTTAACTAACCCAAGGGCATGTGGCAATCTCTGAACTTCTAATTTTTTTCTTTATTGTCAGTGGGGTGGGACTAAGTCCCTTGTACTGCAGCCATTTCTGGCCTACTGTACCAGCCCCAGATGATAGGTGAGGGTGATTGTGGAGCAATTGGTGGAATGAAGATTGGCAGAGGAAACCAAAGTACTCAGAGAAAACCTGCCCCAGCACCATTTTGTCCACCACAAATCCCACTTGACCAGACCCGGGATCGAACCCGGGCCACCGCGGTAGAAAGCCAGCGACTAACCACTTGAGCTATGGCATGGCCTGAACTTCTGATAGTTACCCAAGTATTTAAAAAAAAATGCTTTATTATTACAAAATATGAATCTTCTTCAAAACATAAATATTATGCCCAGAAACTTACGGCACAGCTGACATGTACAGGCTGCAGCAGTTGTGGCAATGTGCCCTGTACTGGTCTGGCAGTACTACAAATGCATATGGTCTCTCGACAAAGAGTATATCTCCCATTTGCACACCTCTGTTCGCTACAACATGCCTTCCTTTTTCTTGACTGTACCTAAGCATTAATTTCAAAATGGGTATGAATGAAAAGTATCAATAGAAAATTATAATATAAAATACACTCCTGTCCATTGAGTCTACATTTATACATGCAAAAATAAATGTGAAAATTATTTGCCAAATAGGGAAAATTTTAATAAACACAATGTGCCACTGGCCATGACCTTGGAACACTACAACTCAGTCAGCCTAATATCAAGTTAACATTCTAATCTTGTACACATTAGTCCTGCAACATATGAACCAAGGTGTTACCAAGACATTTAAGACTTATTATGTTAAAAATGCATAGAGGCATGCAAAATCTGAGCTGTACTTTGGTGCTACATATCTTTTAAAGCAGTACAGGTAAGACCTCTCATCTGTATCTAAAAAATCTATGTATTTAAGTTTAATGTGAGTCTTTTTGTGGCCCTGTGCACATATCCCCCATTTAACCTTTAGTCTGTTCAACATGTGTGGTTCTTGAGGAACCTAATACTGTGCTGGACAAGGGTTTACTTTACTTTTAAATTCAATCACATTATAAAGGGATTGCTATGGAACAGAGAGACTGCAAAACAATCTGAAACAATAATTTATAAGTTTATTTTATACTGATTCTACATAGACTCTTACAATGTGAAACAAAGGCAAAATTTGATACAGAGCAAAGACAGCAAGCAGCTAAAGCAGATATCCAATGTCTTACCTAAGATCTAGTGCTGCTGATGCATATGCAAATCTCTCATTTTCTCCATATGTTGGCACAGGAAGGCAAAATGTTTTAGGGCTGTCAGAAATGTTCTCAGTACTACCAATTCTCAACTGAGAGGAAGCTTTTGACAATGCCAATTCAATGTTCCTTTTAGAAGATGCTGTTATGAAATACACAAAACCATAATGAAAACATGAAACTTATTTACCACAAAATGTAACCTAAACTTGTAGGGTTTAGCTGCTTCATATGCTAATGTTGTTCCCATCTTCTGGACTAGACTGCTCTCACCATCTTCAGGGTGAATAAAGAGGGAGGCAGTGGGCCATTATTTACTAAGTGTGAGGTGTACAGCTCATGATGCTATCCAACTTGAAGGGGTAATTTGGTTAAGTAGAAGGCCTCAACAAAAGAGTCACAATGCCCCACTTTTTCCCAGTATGTACCTGTCTTCATGGTTGAAACTCCTGGAGGTCTGACTATTTCAATGGCTCTCCCTGGCAACGGGTGATCAAAATCACTAAATAACACCAGATATACAGACTTACATAATCTGGCTTCGTGGCTGCCTGACCATTTTTGGCACTGTGAAGAGGAAAGTATATGGGTATTTTGAACAATGGTGTCACTACAAAGACTGGTGTATATACATGGAAATATCTCATCTTGATGAACTGTGCAGCATTGGCACACCTGCCTGTTTTATGGCTGCTGGTGCACACACATCACAAAAGATGTTACATAAGGACTATTACCACAAGAGTTCGGTTGAAAAAAAGAAATCTCTGGTCGTGGGCCTCAAGGGGCCTGACCCCAAGACGAACTGACTGGCGGTAAACTGCCAGTCGTAAAGTAACTCTCTCTCTCTCTCTCTCTCTTCAGTTACAGTGAAGTTCTAACAGTCACTGAGAACAGTTCAGTTTGCAGAGCTGTAAAAGTGACAATAATTGTACTTGTTAGTGTAAAAGTGAGTGTTCAAAAACAATCTGAAACCTGCGTGAAGTCATCTGTCGCATTACATAGGCAAGACGCGACAATATTATATTTGATTCTTTATCTCCCATTTTGTATCCTCCATTATGTCTAACATTTTTTTTATTATCTCACTGATGACTAAATTAAACAGCAGTGGGCTTAAGGAGTCTCCTTGTCCTATCAGTTTTTATTCATATCTCCCCAGATAAAATTCCGATAGATTTCACTGTAGTGAGAGTAAACTGCTCATATTATTGTACAGATCTAGGATGTGTTGACGATTTTTTAAATTATTAAACAATAAATTTCAGGAAAATCTGTTTAGCAGTTTTGAAGTTGTTATATGCCGATATACGAGGGGGGACCCAAAAATAACCGGAATTTATTTTTGTTATTTTTTATTTTTGCATTTTTATTGAACTGTATATTAGTCCCCTTCAAAGTATTGTCCATGTGCATTAATGCACTTGTCCCAACGCTTTTGCCACTGCTCAAAACAGTGCTGGAATTCTTGAGGCTGGATACTGTTCAAAGCCTTTAGCGTGTTTTCTTTGACTTCATCCACATCATGGAATCGCTTTCCTTTCAGACATCTCTTCATCTGTGGAAACAAAAAAAAAGTCCGACGGAGCCAGGTTGGGTGAGTAAGGTGGATGAGGCACAATCACCATGTTGTTGCTTGTCAAAAACTGTCGGACCGTCAAAGCTGTGTGGGCTGGAGCATTGTCGTGGTGAAGCAACCAGTTCCCATTTCTCCACATTTTGGACAGTTTTCGTTGCACACTCTCTCGTAATCTTCATAACACATCCAGGTAAAAATGTTGGTTCACTGTTTGTCCTGGCGGAACGAACTCTTTGTGGACAATGCCATTCACATCAAAAAAACAAATCAACATTGTTTTCACATTGGATTGCACTTGACGCGCTTTCTTCGGTCGTGGTGAAGTTGGAGTTTTCCACTGGCTTGATGATTGCTTTGATTCTGGATCGTACCCGTAGCACCAAGACTCATCGCCAGTCACAATTCTTTTAAGAAATTCTGGATCGTCCTGCACTTCACTCTTCAAGTTGCGGCAAACATTCACACAGTTTTCTCTTTGGTCATCTCCGAGCAAGCGAGGAACAAATTTTGCAGGCACCCGTCTCATGTGCAAACCTTCGGTTAAAATTCGCTGGACCGTGCTCCATGAGATGTTCGTTTCCTCAGAAAGTTGGTCAATGGTCTTTCGACGATCTTCATCAATTGCACGTTTGATTTTGGCAATGTTTTCGTCATTTCTTCCTGTCGAAGGACGATGTCTTCTGTTGACATGTTGCCAGATTTGAAACGGGAAAACCACTCGTAGACCTGTGATTTCCCCAAAGCATCATCATTAAAGGCTTGCCGAAGCATCCCAACAGTCTCGGCTGCAGTTTTCCCTAACAGAAAGCAAAATTTCACGCACACTCTTTGTTCCTTCTGGTCGGCCATCTCACTAATCACCAAAGGGTTGAAACAGGAACGCACACAACAGAGCACCACAGACAAACCACTTAACTCAGACTGACGCCAGCTCACTAACAGTCGCGGGAGACCCCCAGCTAACACCACCTAGCAGCACAACTCATAACTACAAAGCATGCGCGCGCAACAGGTCGGTTCCGGTTATTTTTGGGTCCCCCTTCGTACTACATAAAGACAATGCAAAGCCAAAAACTTTTAATTTTAAATGTGCTCAAAACCACACAAATGGCTCCACAGGGACAGAAGACCAGGCTTCCTACTTGTTATAGTTTTTGAAGATATCTTACACTTCTTGCTGAGTGCCACATCTCCCATGAGTTCTAAACATTTCTGTGCAGACTGCAGGGCTTCTACTTCTTCCATATACCTGTTCAGCCTGGAGAAGCACTGACTGCGTCTCATGTGCAGTTTGTAATGCAATGATGTTGGGTAGCCACTTTGGAAGGCAAGTGCAATATCTTGTAAACTTTCCTGCAATAAATGGTAGCATACACTTCACTGCCTTCAGTATCATATCCTCATTAAATTTCCCAACCTTTCTGAAGCTAACCAAACATTTGGCTGTATAATGAATGAAGCAGCACACCATGAAGACATTTGGGTGAGTGGTCAACTGCATACCCCAGCTGCTTTAGCCCCCAGGAAAAAAACACCAGCTTCCACAGGACAAGAGGCTGGGTGGGCCCCACACCTGGTCTGGATACTATAAGAGAGAAATCTTGTGCTCTGCCAGGAGCTGAACTCCGATTCCTGAGCTACTGAGTCTAGAGCCCAATACATTCCTTCTTCCCACTTGCCTGCATGGAGTGAGAAAACCCATACAGATATACAGCTTTGTGGGCTGTCTAATGGGGCCAGGATAGTGCAGTCAGTATAGCGACTGGCTATGGGCTGGGCAACGGAGGGGTTCCCCACGTTGTCCAGACCAGCTCTGGGGCCCACTCAGCCTCCTATTATATAGATACAAGGGGCACTTTCCCTGGGGATAAAGTGGCCAGAGCGTGAAACTGACCACTCACCTCAAACTAGTGCCAAAGTCAAGAAAATATCAATCTATACATCCATTCCCCCCATGCGCCTTCGTGGTGTAGTGCTTAATTAGTTAAGTACAGGGCAGCCTAATACAGCAGTCATCCCCGAGTGATTGATATTGACTGATTCTACAAAACACCAATTAGTGGCTTGTTGGTTAATAAACAACATTTTAACATTCACTTTGCTTTCATTGTAGGACCCATATTTTCACTAATTTTATTCAGAAAGCTCCAAAATGTATTGAAAAGAACAGTAAACACTGATACGACTGCAGTATCACACTACCAGAATGGCTGGCCTAAATGACTGAGCCTATAAACAGTGCCATGTGTGTGCACTGGCGATCGCTGACTGACTGAAGAATAATAATCATTTGGCGATTTGGATATATCGCGGGAGTACGAATGGACTGAACTGTTGATTAGCAGGGGGATGACTGTAGTAAAAGTAGTGATCATAATCAGGTTACTGTCTCCTTGGATCTAATGTTGTGTAGCAGACTAGCTGTCTGCTATATATATATTCAAACCCAGCAGACAATACTCATAATACCTGATAAGCACCAAGATGGAAGAGGGCTGCTGATCTATTTGCCAGTGCAAGTGATAACTCTTCACTGTCTCTTGGTGCATGGACCACACTCTCCGTATACAACATTAAACTCCCTACATTGTCACATTCTTTAAATTTTTCATTGCCCTGTATTCGTAATTTGGATGCCACAGTGGCAGTCTTCATCCATTTTGCATTACTGTGCGTAAACTTGATCCAGTCCAACAATTTCTCCCTGAAACACATGTTATGAAACATGTTTGTGAGCAACATACACATCATATTGCTCTCCGTTATTGGTTAACATGTTCTTGTAGAATTTCATTATACATATGATTCTATTCATGAGGCTAGAACAGTTATGTACTAAGCATGTATATGTAGTGGTAACACTCTAAGACTTGTATTCAGGAAGTCTTTATGCGAATCTCAGCTGGTATACCAGCTATTCTGAGATAGTCTGTGGTTCTTCTCAGTCTTTCCAAGGTACTCCCTCTACTTGGTCTTGGGCACTTTTTTTCTAAATCCATTTAAATTCATCAACCATCTTACCATTGGATGCTATATAGACTAAATACTGAGAGTGTTGTAAAATAAATGTAAAATAATACAACCATAAATAGCAAGCAATGGTAAGAAACTGAAAAGCATTTTAACTTTTAACATCTAAGTGGTGTGTGGCTGAACTACAGAATGTACTATTTTGTTCCTAATGAGGGTCTTCTTTCTTATTTCCTGCTCACTGTTCCCACTGGAAAAGACAGGGCTCCATCTCCTTGCCTGGTCTGTGGCTCCAAGTGACGTGTTACTTCACATATTAACAATGCAAAAAGTATTTAAATGTTACTTTTCTACCCCGAATACTCTAGAATGATTTGTAAAAATAATATTAAACAGCTGAAACATGGTTTGTTTCGAAATTTTCTGGATCCCCCCCCCCCCAGAGACAATTCTAGAGGCAGCCTTTGCTTCCATACCTTTGCTAACTCAGTTTTTATAGTTTTGGAGCCCTTCATTGGTATGTATTTAAAAATTACGTTACACTTCGGTTTCACTACTCCTGGTGACGAAGTAACTGGTAGAGAAGTGACTTCCAATAGAATACTTTCCCTAGAGTACTTACTTACTTACAGAGCTTAGCCCTTCTTGAGTAGCTGCCAATTGTACAGCCACTCAAGAATTTCCCAGCATTTTATGGAACCCAAAGGTTCATTACTGTGTTCACAAGAGACCTCCACTGGTGCCTATCCTGAGCCAGATCAATCCAATCCATCCCATCCCTTTAACATCCATTTTAATTTTGTCCACCCGCCTAATTTTGGCCCTCCCAGTGGTGTCTTTCCTTCTGCCTTTCCCACCAATATCTTATATGCATTTCTATTCTCCCCCATTCATGCTATAAGCCTTGCCCACCTCATTCTCCTTGACTTGATCATTCTAATTATACTTGGAGAAGAGTACAAGTTATGAAGCTTCTCACTATGCAGTTTTCTCCAACCTCCTGTCACTTCATCCCTCTTCGGTCAAAATACTCTCCCCAATACCCTGTTCTCAAACATCCTCAGTCTATGTTCCTCCCTTAATGTCAGAGACAAAGTTTCACACCCATACAGAACCACAGGCAAAATTAGTTTTGTATATTCTAATTTTTATGTTTTTGGACAGCAGACGAGAAGACAAAAGATTCTGGACTGAATGGTAGCAAGCATTACCCGAGTTCAATTTCTTCTTAATTTCCTCCTCAATCAGGTTTTGATTTGTTATCATTGTTCCCAAATATCTGAACTGTGCCACATTTTCAAAACATCTATTCTCTATCGTTATGTCATGATTTTGCCCTGCATTCTGGTGATGAGACAGCAACATATACTTTTATTTTTATTGCTAGTGAGGTGGGACTAAGTCCCTTGCACTGCAGCCACTTCTGGCCTATCATACCAGCCCCCGATGATAGGTGAGGATGATTGTGCAGCAATGGGTGGAATGAAGATTGGCAGGGGAAACCGAAGTACTTAGAGAAATCCTGCACTAGCGTCGCTTTGTCCACCACAAATCCCACTTGACCAGACCCGGGCCACTGCGGTGGGAAGTCAGCGGCTAATCGCTTGAGCTATGGCACAGTCTGACATATACTTAATTTTGTCTGTATTTACTTCTAGACCAACCTCCTTACTTGCGTCAATTAAAGTTTGTGTGTTTTTCTATTACAGAGTAGGTTCAAATCATCGGAAAAGCCCAACAGCTGATGTGCCCCGTTTAAGTCCCGCCTGGTTTTCCTGACCTTCCTAATGGCATATTCTAAAGCAAAGTTGATAAGGAATGGCGATAAAGCGTCTCCTTGTTTTAAACCATTCTGGATTGGAAATTTATCAGACAAATGTTCACCTACACGAACTTCACTATAAGTTTCGTAAAAAAAAAACCTCGTTATTTTTGTCTGTAAATTGGTACGCATGACATACCTGTATACATTTTCATTTAACCATAATTCAACCATGTCTTCCTGCAATTTTAGCGATGATATTTTTTTTGAAGTGCCAATTTTGTTAGATTCTAAAGTGACCGCATCTAATAGTTCTTGCCAGTTTTTTATCATTTTCAGACATTAATGTCTACAGTAATCGTGTGGACCGCCGGACCTTTCTTCTTCAGATTCTTAATGGCGATGAATGGGATAATCACAATATAAAAAGGCCAATTAAAATTGTTACTATAGTGCAGGCCATTTCCAGAGTTCAAATGCAACGCCCCACATTTCTTGCTCTTTACTTCTTCCTTCGTCAGAGTAAAACAGCTGGTCGTTAACTATTGCGATGGTGATATTCTTTCACTACTTGAACAGGTGAGCTTCCATGTCCAACCCTATCAAATTTACATTAGACTACTGAATATTTTCAAATTGTTCATTCGTGTTCATTAGTACAATCTTAACACTACGCAATCCCTATTTGAGGCTAAAACCTTTCAAGCGTGTCGAAAATTTGCTTCGGTTCGGTGGACTTCGAATAAGATTTATGAAAGCTGCCACTTGGATTTCAACTTGGTCTTTGAAAACGTGATACTTATGAACTTATGAATGATTTCTGACATGGTATTAGAACTAATTAATTTCGGAATACAATCTTGATAACCAAATAATCGCGCACGCAACCAAGCAAGCCCCACATTCCAGAGAATAAGAATTTTAACAACATCCCTCCACAGAACGCTACGTTATTAATCTGTGATCGTGTTCTACATTATTACATTATCCAGTCAACATAACAACCTGACCGATCCTGACGGACCTTAAAGTTATTCGGCATTTTGCTATACAGAAATTAAAGCTGATTCTGTGTGATTCTATTTATTTATTAATTTTCCTACATACTAGCAATGTTCCTTCAAACAAATGTAGTTCATCTTGTTCATAAAGATATTTTTGACTTACATAGTAGATATTTTCATTTTGGGAACATGTATAGTTCTAGCGGTTCAAGCATTTCCGTTCGCCATTTTGTAAATGGTTTGTTGTAGGAAGGTGTTGTTTCATTCGCATTTCAGTAAATGTATATGGGGATGTTTGATGTTCCTTAAATAAATTGGGATCTGCTACTCGTAGTACACTGTAGTGTAATTATTGGTAAGTTTTGGTGAAGCTTAATGTAAGGGTTATATATTTTATTTGTGTTTTCTTTGTTTCGATCTGAACTAATGGAAGCTTGATGGTGCGTAGGTACGGCCATCCACCTTTATAATTCGTAGCATTGCGTTTATTCGTACAGGTACATGGCGTAATGAATCAAAGATTTGTATTCACTGTCAAACTTTATAACATAAAGCCCAGTGTTTCTAATATTCATATATAACTTATGCCATTGCAGTAGAATTCTCGTATATGGAAGCACAAGACGTTCTTGGAAGAATTAATCACCCACTGTACACAGACAGCAAGGTGATATCACAAACCTTTCTGTTTTTTTATTTAAAATGGGGAAAGTAGGCTTATGAGATATCTCTGCCATCTGTATGTAGTATCCTCCCTATATCATTGCAAGGCAATGCTTTGCTAAACACGTTACCATGGCAGCAAATACACACGCAACAATAGAACTGTTGAATGTGGTGTTTTCTATGTGATCTGTGTCAGATAATATGTAGTGAAAGGAAGGTAGGCAGTTCATTAGTGTGCTGTGGTGGAATGATATGTAAGTATTATTCAGGGGCTGCAAATTCTGCAAGAGATCAACTTATTCACTATTGTTTCCTGAGTGTTTGTTGTCTTCATGGTACTGGGGATTTTTCAGCATATCAAGGGTCATGTCAGTGATTAATACAGTGTAAGGCTGTGTAGGTTAGGAAGGTATTGTGCTTCATTTATGTTAGCACCAATTGCTTTGTTCCTTATGTAACTGGAATTTGATCATTGCCAGCCTCAACTGTTTGATGTACAGTATATTGCATGTTGTCTAGTTTTTTATGTTTTTTTCTCAATAATTGTTAGTTATGTAAAGCTTTGTTGTCATGCAGATTACCTGTAGTCCACAAATCCTTTGTGTGAAACAAAAAGAAAATTAAGGTACAGAATGCGAAAGTAGTTATTTTGACAGGTGTTTTTTTTACGAACTTCATGGTTACTTAGCTCTTAGGAAATTCCATTAATTTCATGGAACCTGAAGGTTCATTACCATGTTGACTTGAGCCCACAATTGCCATATTCTAAAGCAATTGCATTCATGTCCTGTTCCCTCATTTTATTCTATTCATTCATTCATCAGTCTGTCAGCTGGTTTATTCCTCTCATTTCTGGATTAAGTATGTATTTCTCATCTTCCAATATGGGAATACATATTTTGTTCTCTTCAGTGACCTAAATATTTGACGAAGAATACAAATTACATAATTTTCTTCGTCAGTGTTTTTTAGAAGTCTAGATATTCTCTGCCTCACATCATTCTCAAGCACTCTTTACTGCCTTCGTTAGTTCGGGGGACCAAGTTTCAAAACCTTAACCTTTATATTTGTATATATATAAAATTCTGAATTGATGAAAAGCAGACACTCCCAAAATTGAATTTAGAACATAAGTTTTATTTACTGTTATTTCTACATTTTTTAATGCTTTTTAGCCATCTTTCTATAGTACTTTTGTACATCATTGTAGTGAGACACGAATACAGTCAACTCTCGATTATCCGGGCTAATGGTGGGGATGGAAGTCACGGTTAATCGAAAACCCGGTTAAGCCAAATTTTATTATACGGGCTGGACGACTGTGAAGGGTCGGAGTTCGAGTCCCGGTAGGGTCAAGAATTTTAACTTCTCCAAATCGTCCAGACCGGCTCTGGGGTCCATCCAACCTCCTATCCAATGGGTACCGGGGGCTCTTTCCCCGGGGGTAAAGCGGCCGGGGCGTGAAGCTGACCACTCACCTCCAACTAGTGCCGAGGTCAAGAAAATTTGGATCTATACATCCACTCCCCCACACGCCTTAATGGCGTAGGGCTTAATTCGTTGAGCAGAGGAACAACTTTACCTTTTACCTTTTAATACCTTCATAATACTATAGACCTACCTGTATTTAAATTTATTCATCCTCATTTCTATGTCATCTCATGGCCTATTTAATACTTTCTTTACATTACACTCAGTATGAATTAGTTATTTCAATCACTGTTCAACAACATCCAGCACTTTTTACGGTCACACTTAACACTTAAAATAATTTAATACTGTCTTTTGCTTTTTCGCGGCATTTTCCTTTTTACGGATATCCGTACGAAGCCTACGTAATATTAGCTTGTCACTTAATAAACTGTCCTCTTCACTCTCAAGATAGTCTAGTAAGGATTCCAAATGATTAAGCGCAGCACCATGTGATACTTTCTTACTGGCAACACTGTCCACCTCTTCCTCATTCTCACTTTCTTCCCGCTCTTCTGGCTGCACCCCCATTGAAGTTACGATTTCGTCACTGCTTAACATTTCGAAGCCCGGTTCACACGAGTCACAGTTAAACCACTCTCTTATATTTTCCTCGTTGACTTCTTCACCACCATGAACTTGGTTAGCCACTTTTGTCAATTTTATGGCTATCTCATTTTCACTGAATCCAGTGAATCCATGGATTTCGTCATCTTCATTAGTGATGAAAGGCATCAGTTTCTTCCATGAATTTTTCAATACAGATGGCTTTACTGTATCCCACGCTGTTGAAATCTCGTATATGGCATCTAATACTGAAAAGGACTTCCAGAAACACGTCAGATCATTGCCTTCATCGATGTACTTTTGTAGCAAATTTGATCTGTAGATTCTCTTCATACTTGAGATAACTCCTTGATCCATTGGTTGGATAAGTGCGGTAACATTAGCGGGAAAATATTTCACAAAAATATTTCCATCATCTGACCTCAGGAGACTTTCGTTAGGATGTGAGGGCGCATTGTCAATGAGGAGCACAGCTTTCTCAGGTAGGCCTTGGGATTTTAGATGGTCACGAACTTGAGGCACGAATTTAAAATCAAACCATTCTTTAAATATCGCTCTATTCATCCAAGCTACTTTCTGGTTAAAATAATGGATAGGCAGACTTGAAGCTACTGTTCCTTTAAAAGAGCGTGGTCTTTTCGCTTTGCCGATAACTACTGGTATTAGTTTGTGTGTTCCTGATGCATTAGAACAGCACAAGACTGTCAATCTCTCCTTACTGGATTTGTGACCTGGAGCCTGTCTTTCATTTTGAAATGCCAATGTTCTGGTTGGCAAGCATTTCCAATAAAGACCCGTTTCATCGGCATTATAGATTTGTTCTGGCAGCAGATTTTCACTTTTCACAAAACTATCAAAATTGGTGCAAAATTGATCTGATGCTGACAAGTCCCCTGACAATTTCTCACCTTGAATACTGATTTCTCGTATTCCATGACGCTGCTTGAAACGTGTTAGCCAACCGGAAGAAGCGTCAAAACTCCCTTCTAGTTCAAGTGCTTCGAAAAAATATTTAGCTTGTTTAGCACAAACTGGTCCTGTTATTGTTGTTCCCTGTGCCCTTAGTTGATTAAACCAGGTCAGCATCGCTTTGTCGAGATCATCGTATGTTGATTTCTTCATGGTTTTTCTCTTCTTCATTCCGCTTGAATTAGAAGACGAAGCAAAGGAAATTAACTCATTCTTTTGTTTTTTCAAATCACGAACAGTTTGTTCTCCAATACCGTATTGCATTGCTAATTGTTTAACTACAGCTCCTTTTTCCAGCTGATTGATAATTTCAAGTTTCTGTTGAATACTTAACACAACACGCTTCCTTTTAAACCCCGACATTTTGCTAACGCACTTGAAGATCTATATTAAGAAACTGATACTTACTTTCACAATGCACTCTCACACTGAGATGGTACCGTTAAATAACCTGGGGCGGTGTATTTGTCCTTGAAACTTTCCAAAAATTCTTGCATTCTTTCACCCCCACCCTAGAACATTGTGTTCGCATAACGGGACGAAATAATGCAGAGCTCGGTTCACACTAGTGCGAAAATAGTGTTAAACTCACCATGTGAAACAAAAGTGAATGAATATTAAACAACATATAAACTTAAAAAAAAAGCCCCGGTTAAGCCGCAAACCGGTTAATCCGCCCCCGGATAATCGAGAGTTGACTGTACATTCTTTGAATGATTAAACCAGCTGTCCAGGACCTGTGGGCTGCATGTGAGTTGGCAGAAACAAATGGTACGTGTCAAAGAAATGTGGTTAAATGCACATTGGAGCACACGGTAGTGTAGTTGGCTGAGGCACTATGCTACAGGGCAGAAGGTCGTGGGTTTGATCCTCGATGAAGCTGGGGTGCTCCCCCCATAATCCTTCGAGCCACGCTGTGGCCCAGGGTTCGACTTAGGCTCTAACAGAAATGAATACCAGGAATCTTCCTGGGGGTTAAAGGGCAACTGGCGTGTGAGGTTCACAAGCTCATCGCCATCTGTGAGCCGATTGCCTAGGAAATGTGGGAGCCTAAACCGCGTACAACCATATGGGCCTTCATGGGCTGTTATAGGCATAGCTTTACCTTTCCTCCCCAGATGCAAATTTCCATTTCTTCTCAGTTCAGATGAGGACACAAGTCTCCATTTAGGTGTTTTAGATGGGTCGTGATGGAATTGCTCTCTTGTTATATTTTACCCACCTCATTTCCCAATGGCTGCTGCTACTTTTGTGACCACAGAAAGCAAAAATTAAACTAATTTATTGAGCTTTAGCTGACATGAAAAGAGGACTGTCATCAGGTTTGAGAGAGTTCTATCTGTTGCAGCTACAAATAAAATGAACCACTGACTGCAGTTGTATTATTTTGCTCTTTGTATTTCTGTTCATGTTGCTGACCAAAGGAACATTTCAGTTGTCACTGCTTGCTCTTATTGTGCACTTTTAAGATCAAACTGTTGATTTGTCTTGTGGGTATAATTTTTTTATTGAGTGTGTCGCGGTTGGGATAGAATTTTTTATTTGTTTTATATGAAAAGTGATATCTGCTTCCTCGTGGTTTTTTGCTGCAGATGACACTGAACACAGTGTTTAAATCTTATTTTTTTTTGCTTTACAGATGTAATTGGAACATATGTGTAGGTCTTTACTAGTGGTGCAGCGGAACTTGGGATTCGGCATTGAAATTATCATCTAGCTGTACTAGGTAGTCTCAGGAAGAAAGAAGATATATTTTGAATCACAAAGTCTGTAAGGTAAACCCTAACAAAAATTCATTTTCCCAGTTCCACTGTCCTTACAGTTTAGCACACATTTTTATTATTGAATGCAGGAATGGTACAGGTCAGTCTGGGAAGAAATACATTAAGATAATCAGTGACATGTCTGAACTGTTCATCTACTCAACACTTCTCACCCTTGCTTCCTATTAAACTTCAGATTTCCAACACATGGAATTTTGTCACAGCTGGTGATTATCCTACAGGAGATGGGGTTATCAACATTTGCATATATGCATAACTAAAGTAACTACAGGTGACACAAAACATGGCACTTGTGTACTCTTACATATCAGGAATAAGAATTGTAAATTCTTGGTCCTTGTAAAGTGTAAAGGTCATTGCATAGTCACATTATTTCTCATGCTTGCAGAATGCAGTGGAGAGAGAGAATGAATGCTTGGTACCATCACAAAATAAGTTAGTATACTTGTAACTTCCAAAGACTTTATCTTTATGCTCAGTTTTGCAAAAATTTGGCTGTTTTGCTAATAACACACACATTATATATATATATATATATATATAATTGCCTGAGGGGATGGACAAACATGGAGCTTGATAGTGGGCTTCTGAAAGAATAGTTTTGTCTTCAGAGCCCTGACATCAAAGATGTTTGATGGTAATTATTCTATTAATATTTATTTTCTTGTTATGTTCTAACATTGGTGTTGAGGCTAGTACATATTAACTATGGGGCAATTTCATCCTCAAAAGATGATAATTTCTCAGTGTAATTATCAGTAGAGGGAGTTGATGTTGCAGGTGGTCTGGTAAGAATTTCCTATTTTGTATGGTATGCATTTTTTGGGATGGATAGGTTTTACATTTTATTGTCAGAGAGTTGTCTTGTGTTCTGTATATTGGCATTCCAGCTCCTGAGTGAAAGATGTAATGGAGTAACAAATGGTACATGTTTTGTGTCATACAACAATACGAGTATTGTTGCTTCTGATGCATGGGCTGTTAAGGAATGGTAGGTAAAATGAGAGACCTTTTGAACAGTTTTACCAACAGTGGTTGCACCTTGCCTAGGACTTCTATATAATTGGGAGATACAGATACATTAAGGGCTGAGAGCAGTTGCATGACTCTGAGAGTCTTGAAACAGAAAAATATTGTCATGAGTCCTGAAGTACCCAGAATCAAGAATGACTGTGCTGGTGAGGACTAGCCTCAGCTTACTGACCAACATTAGGGGCTGCTTTAACTGTAATGCCCTAAAATTTGCGTACATCGATCTTCCATATTACTAAAATTACCTAACCGTGCTTATATCTCTGAAAGTTATAAGTTTCGTGATATCCGTCAGGATACAGTACCGTTTATAGTCTAAAAGAAGCTGAGGATGGAGCTATTTTTTATGGCTTTACACATTTATTTTAAGAAGAATGACACAACTATTTTGCTTAATACTTCGAGTTTTTAAAAGCTGTGTTTATTTACTACCATCGCTTTAAAATGAAGAAGCTGCAAAACATTAAAATGGTATCAGACTATTGTGAATTGTGGACAGTAGTGAATGAAATGAATCTGGGTGATCCATTTTAGTATTTTAGAATTATTAGGTGAGACTAAAGCCAAATCAGTAGTAGTCACGTTTATTGTGTGATATGATGTGGAAGCGGAGATGCTCTCTCAAACATGCGGACTGCAAATCGGACCAGCTGCCAGAGCACCGACAGGCAAACTCGTTGCTGCTGTTCACCAACACCAAGTAATCTGATTCATTGTGTGGCATAACAAAGATATTTTCTTTTGGAAAGAACACTTTTCATACTACATTCTAAATCATATTTGGCAGTAGGGGCTAGCAACTCTTCGCTGCACTTTGCAATCATTACGGTGCTGTGGAAATTTAGAAAAATGCTGTCATGACTTGATTACGTTCAAAACTGCTAGTGTTTTGTATGAAAATTGATGGGGAATAATTAGAAATTTTATTTTGCTGGTTATGTTTATAATTCAGTCATTGTTACTTGCAGTTATATTCATTAATAATTTTTTTTTGGCTTAAGATGTGTTATGACGATGTGTCATGGTGCTTCTTTTTAAACATTTGATGGTTTTTTTTTTCAGTGGCAGCAATGATATATAGTATAATACTGATATATCTTTCTTTGTACCCCCATCAGTGAAGCAAATTTTAAAAATCATTCCTTGTCAGCCTGCAGTTAGCATTTCAGTACTGGTACACTGCTGAGGAAACAGTTATTTTGCATTTTATGCCATATGGTTAAATTTTTTGCCTTTTATGTTCATAGCCATTTGAGTCACACATGTTCTGCTGAAATTTGATATTTTGATACCCATGCTAGTAGCAGCTGTTTATGTTAAGGAGACTAATAAATATGCTGCAGCCTTAGTATAAAAGACTGGGTTGATTTGAGTTTTGTCCTAACTGTTGCTACTAAGACTGAAAATTGGAAAGAATATCTCCCCATACAACTGATTACATGAGGATACGAGTACAGTCAACTTTGTGAAACATCTTGTGCCTTTAATATACCTTAACAATGGTCAGTGTCCAACATCGCAAAGTTCTCATGACCAGTTGCTGCCCTGCAATCCTACACTAATACAGTACATGTACACTGTTTATATGCCTACTAGTCACCTTGAGGTATGAGCAGGGGTCGGCAAAGGTTGGCTAAGTTCACCAGTCAGACAAATTCTGCTTGCCAGACAGTTCTCCTCTTAAAATAAACATACCCATGCCACTGATTGCTCAACACTGCCTACTTATCACAGAATACACAAGATGTATAAAATACTGTGCCTCTGGAAGGTATCATTTTCTGATTGATGGAAGAGAATGTGTACACGTTTCATTTTGCTGGGGTTTATTTCTCACGCTTCATGTACAGGCAGACCAGTGAGTCTGTTGAAACCCATGTGTAGGGATTTACCTTGCTTGAGTTGTAAAAAGATTCATTGAATTTTTATGAGCCTGTGAAGGGTCCACTTCTTAATGACATTGTTCAGTTGGTATAGGTAATGATTTACAGGCTTGTGATTCCATTTATTTATGGAAATTTCTCTTCCTGTCTTGTCATAACTGCTTATATAACAGCTGTAGTGGTCCAAGTAAACTATGTGTTGTCAGGATGGGTTCTTAAACTCTTACTTTTTCTGATGTAAAAAACACTAAAATTAAAAGATATCTGTCCCTCTTAATCAATGGAATGTAATACATTCTCATTTAGAATTTAATTCCTGGAAAGAAATTGGACTGATAGAACTGCACACATTTTAAATAGCACTGGCAGAATTTGAAGTTAAAAGAGGTTGAACGTACAAGAGAACCCTGGAACAGGAGAATAAGACACAGCTTAAGCCTGTGACACTATAAGTAGTACACTTTTTTTGCTTGGGGTTTTCATATATGTTTTTTTAGGTTCCTGTCCTGTCCTGTCCATATTAGGCAAAATGATGCCAGCTTTTCCAGTTCATAGTATTTTCACATTTTATAATAAGCTTAGATATACTGTGACAGTTGATCTTATAAACATATTATATGTGTTCCGACAACTCATAGTGTGTGGGGCATGTTTATACTACCTGTTCTCAACAGAATGCACAGTGGATATGGTTGAGTCCACTAACTTCAGTAAGGATTGTAGAATGTGTATGGGTTAGTGAAACAGAAGTTCACCTCTCTCCTTCCCGCAATGCAACTGCAACCACTGTCCTACTATTACTTCTTGCCACACTTCACACTTCTCACACTCAACCCAGAGGCAAAATCAATAAGCTTGGCCTGTACTTTGGCCCTGCAAATAAATTGCATTTGTTTCAGTTGCGTAAAATGTATGTTCTAAGAAGCCTGTATGAAATGATTTCCCTGTATATTCCTAAATTATTTTACATTATGCCTTTCAGTTTCTCCAAATTAGTAACCTTTGTCAAGCACACTAATTGTCTGGGTGCTGAAAGAGCATGTACAGTGTTACATGTTGCTCTGTGAGTGAGAGTTATGTTTCCTGGTTATAGGCCACATTCCTGTTTTTACTGAAATCTACTGGTGATATACACAACAGACATAAATATTGTATTGTTAATCATAGACAGCTGTGGTTCTTAACCCTTTCTTCTACATATTTTTGAATTTCTGACCTACCCTCCAGACTAGATTCTTGTAACAGGTACACCCAAACCATTGCTGCTTGTTGTTCTCACAGTTGCTTTTGAGAAAAAAGGTTTACTATCCCTGCAACTTACATTGTTTAACAAATGTGAAAATGCCAACATGGACATAAACATGAGTGTGTTGAGCTTTGGTGTGAAGACAATAACAAACCAGAAATGAATGTATTTTTGGTTAGCCAGCAGACAGTTTAGATAAGACCAGTATATTTAGGGGTGCCCCCGAAAGGGTGAAGAAGATGGTATGCCTGAAGTTGCAGCTAAGAAATTATTTTATTTGCTACTACAAAAACGTTTGTAAGAACTCCTGATGGGTTCTTCTCTTCACTGACACATTTGCTGCTAGGGATGTGGCGTGACAAATGAACCTTTTCATCAATGATTGAGTGAAGCTTTGGTTTGAGGCTCTTGTTCAGCTGAATTAGGTAGACATGAGGTCTGACATGGCTGTCTCAGGAAAGGCTTATAATCAGTTAGGATTGGGCTACCACAATGTCTCTGTCTGTCTCTCATGCCCAACAGATTAGTTTTTAATTTTGTCCTCACGGTATGTCCTGTATCACGTGGACATCTGTTCAGTTCTGCTCAGGATGAGTGTTTGTAGCTCCTAGTTTGCTGATCTCTGTTTTACTGTTCTCTTTTGTCTCACTTTGGCCATATTCCATTTCCATGGATTTATCTTTATTTTATTTCCTTGAAATGCGTACAGTGTGACATGAAAATGTTTTTTAAGTTTGATTACAAATTCCAGATGTTTTGAGAGATTTCCAATCAGTTTATTTATGGATCTTTTTTTGCTAGAATAGGGGAGATGGTTTGTTATGGGGTGA